GCATTATAACCATTGAATACTACTTAAGCATTTTCCTCTCTTTTTTCTTTTTATTATTTATCGCTAAATTTCAATCTTCAAAAGGCGTAATTACAAGAATACAAGCTCAATAATACAAATCTATTTACCATTTTGATCATTTTCTTGTTGCTATGAAACTTATCATTTATTGCAATAGACATAAATATTCTTATTACTATAATCATTATTATTGCTACTATTATTATATACATGTTTCTCATTCCAAAGTGACAGTCATTGGTATCCATAAATTACAGCTATATATAGCCTAAATATTATGGGAGAGGGAATGAGGCTAGAGCCCCAGCCCACCCCCGCCCCCAAAGGGACAGAATAAAGGCAAAGGAGGAAGTGGGGAGAGTAAAAAATCGTATCGAAAGCTCTGCATGATACCATTTCTCTATGTACTGTACTCTATAAAAGCGATCGTATTTTACAGTCGACTATACCACACCACCACAACGCACACACATGGCCCTTATCAAAATTATTCACTGGATCCGGCCGGGTTCAGTAGTTGAAACCCAAAAAATGGAAAAACAAATCTTATATTTAAAAAATATCGATTAAAAAACGAAACATGTAGCCTTTAAGTACATTGAAACAAATGAAAATAGACATAATTATCAGCAAATCTGATGTACGTATCCAGGTATTCTTAAGACATATCATTTCAAAAGATTGTAAAAATAAAGTGGAAAATATAATTAAATACAGTACTGATAACTGACCAAATAAAGTAATTTTAGGAATCTAAAATTCAAAGCGTGTCTGGGAATCCTTATCATAGCTTAACTGTATGCGCAGTGACGACATGTTTAATATACATAGTTGCCATCTAAAGTTTATTATGCCGTTATTTCTTTGTCGTGTAGTTTATAAGAAGGCTTAAGCATTTACATCGACGGAATCCCAAAGCCTACCGAACCGATCATAGAATCGGGTCAGTATGTAAGAATAGGGCCGCCGGCGTTCGGCGTAACGGAAAAGTGCTCCAAATTTCAGATCAGACTCAATGTGAATGCAGCTTTAAAAGAGAGGTGTAGATGAGAAGACGTGCCGGTGTATGTGATCTGAATAGTTTCTGTTTCTTGTATCTTGTATTAAAATCGCAGCCAAGGCTACATTATAGGCCTATTTACAAAAATACATATTATACAAAATATAAAACATTAACCAAGCATTAGTACAAGACAGGAAAAGCTACATTAAAATTGGAAACATCAGAAATTCACGAAAAGTAAAATGTTATATTATATAGTACTACATAAATTTAAATAATTGTTTCATTATCGAATTTACAAATACACAACAAAGAAAATCCATGCATTGCACAAAATTTGATTCATTTATGATGACGTCAGTGAGTCAGTTCCATGACGTCGGTTGAGTGTTGTACATCATAGTACAGTAATATCTAACCATACCTGCTTCGCCTTTCCATGCATGTAGGCGTATTAGTTTAGTTTATAAATCTTAGCCCCATATATTTGTCAATGTCATTTAAAGAAGCACCAGCAGCGTGTAGCATTGCTCTCACTTTCTTCCATTCGATCTCAAATTCTTTATTTGTCATTTTACTGTTGGGAGAATGTGCAAGCTTTGTGTTCCTGTAGCGATGGATGTGTACCAAGTTAGTCAGTCTATCTGGGTTGTTCCAAAATGAGTATGGAATGCTACAACAGTTACGGATTATCAAATACATAATTGAGATATCGAACGTGTCAATGTCAGCTGTTGGTGTGAACATTTTTGCGTTCTGCTCAGGAGTAATTTTTACATTTTTGAAGCTACCTTTTCGTTTCTCATTCATCAGATATCGTCCAACTTCTTTTTTGTCAAGTTTAGTAGCCTTGTTTTGTTTTGTCTTGCCTTGATTAGCAACCTCCAAGAAGTATTCCCTCATAGTTACAGTGCCGACATCAACGACGGCTGATAGAATAACTTGGAAATTTCTGATTTCTTCAACGTTTTCCTGCTCAAAACCTATTTTAAGTACAAAGGAAAATCAAAATTAGCAAATACAGTATATACAAACGTTTAAATCAGGTGGTTACTCTATGTTATAGTTGGTTTCAATGGCAATATGTTTAGTTGCAATCTTAATTATTCATTCTTTAGCAGTTTAGTATGTTATCAATCGGATAGAGCTGCCTGATGGAATATAGAAA